TTACAGGTGCAGCAAAGGTTGTTTAAGCGGTAACAAGATAAAGAGAAGAGATGTGACACGTGACGACATAGGACGTGAAGAAAGCACATCAAAGGTCATTCTCACACGCGGACCCTTGTTGATTAAAGAAAAAGAAAGCCAAGCTTCTAATCGAGAAGGTTAATTAATTATTAGAAGAAGTTACGTTGTTACGTACTGAGCATGAGGTCCAAATGTAGAAATCTCGACCAATCGAGTATTTTCTTGGTCAATTAATTACGACTGACAGAAATTAAAGTCGAGGTCAACTGTTAAACGAAAAAACAAATGAATAAGGTCAATATTTCTGCATCAGGAACAAAGAAGCTTTTTCAATAGTATTTGGATTTTGTTTGTTCTAACATAGTCCAGTCCCTAAGCTCTCTCGTCCCCGCTCTATAGTCAGCGACTGGACTAGTTCTAACATTGAAAAAAGGCTGCTTAAGATGACCAGCGCGAGTAATCGAACGGGGCTACCTAAACGAAAACTAACCAATCAAAACGTAAACTGAGAACAATGAACTGGCAGCTTTCTCGTGAAGGCAAGTATTAAAGGTCTGTTTGAGATGAATACATAAACACTAAGGACTACTTAACAATTGCGGGCTACGGGTCACTAGCCCATGAGGCGAAGCTATTGACCCGTGGTCAAATTAGACCGTTGGTCTAATTGTTTAAGTATCACCCAACTAGTCGGACAGAAAAGGCAATAACAAAGTCAGCAAATGCAAGTTGAAGAAANGGTAAATGGAGCCCTTCCCCTGCGGTCTCGTTTCAATAGGACATTTTTAAAAATCGTTTTACTATGAATAGATAGCCCCTGGCCTGCTCTGCAAGATCAGTAATTTTTTTGTTGTTCGTGACGTCATCTGGCGTCACATGAGGTTGTTAAGACTGCCAGCCTCTTGAATCTGCGATCTTAGATTTTACTATTTTCGCAGAAACTCAGAAACGAGAGATCTGAAAACCCCGGCTCCATGTTAGAAACAAAAAAAATCAGGACTGTCACAAAACAGCGGCCATTTGACGAGCGCCCTCCAGTTTACTTTTGACGGGAAAGTTTCGACGCCTTTTAACCCCAAAAAACAAACGCTCAAAATTTTGATTTTATTTTAAAACCTCCTTTCACTTTGACTCACGGAAAAATTATTCGATTGAAAGTGACCAAGTTATCGTAGCCATACCAGGTCAGTGGCTTGATATCACAGGATATCAGGACAGTAGACACGGCTTCTGATTGGCTGATTGCGAGTTTGGATAACATAAAGTAAAGCCTCCTTTCAAAACTCATAAAAATCCTCTGAAGGGAGAGGGATCCAACCTGCTCCTCCTTGCATGTCCGAGGGTTAATAGTTTAAACAACCAATCGATGGTAAGTTATGATAAGGCCATCACTATAAAACTCAGCCTTTACCGTCATTACGTTATAACAAGTATTTTTACTTTAGCGGATAAAAATTTTGGGTATTAGTTACACTTTAAGCTTTGATCTTTATAACCGTTTAGTAATATGTTATAGAGCCGTTGCAGATTACAGAATCGCATTTGGTACGACTTAGTTGCTGTAGCATATAGTCAGAAGTGACCGTCATTTCTGGCCTTTTTCATAGCCTGATTAGGATTACGTTTGTTTTATAACCGCTCTCTGCTTTTAAAGAACAACCAAATGACGATACATTTTTGCTCAGTTAATTAGCTTAGCTATGTTACACGTTTAAACCTGTTACTTACCTATTCATCTATAGTCTCAGTGGATGCTTCACAGTGTGTTCAACACTAAAGCCTTAACTGTAGCTACATTGTCGCAATAAAATTTGTGGGCTTTAAAAGGATGTTCAAGACGTTTTTATGCCAGCCAGTTGCCATTTCTTACAACAGAAACTTCTTATTTCTTTTCTTTGTTTCTTTGTTTGTTTCTTTGTTTGTTTGGTTCTTTATTTATTTCTTTCTCTAGATCCTTGGGTGCATAATTGCTGCTTATTCTCCCTCTAAATTTTTTAATCGTTAAAAATAATTTTTAAATGTGTTTTATCATTGTGCAGCTTATACTCGTCTTTTAACGACTATGCCAAATTGGAGGGAAAGTACAGCATTGTGACGGTAATAACGCGCGTGTTCTATGCGTAGCAAATAATCAATCGTAGATACAAGGACCAAAAATAATATTTAACTTATAAATTTTAGTAGATTCCGACTGTCATGTTGGAACTGATAGTTTCTATCTAAGATCCCGACAATCTGAAATGTTTCTGATTCTTGGACGACTCAATTTTGGAACAAAATCCTTTCTTAAGCTATGACGTAACCTACACCTAAGAGTAGAAGATTTTTTTTTCAAGGTATGGGAATTTTTTCCCCATAAAATGCCCTCTTTCGTCTCAAACAAACTAATTGAGCTTTGAGGTAATCTAGACCTAAAAGTTGAAGATTTTTTTCAAGATATGGGAATTTTTCCCCCCTAAAATGCCTTTTTTTCACGTATGGTTTGCACTTTGAAAGAGGAATTGCCTCCAATCTCGAATAATTCCATTTACGACATTTTTGTCCACTTATTCTGTAAAGCATATTTCGTAGCAGATACCCACTGTGGTAGAAATACCCAGTTTCAGTTTTCCGCTACAACGTGTTACTTTTTAACTTAAATGCGATAACTTGATGACAGTTACAGTAACAGTACAATAATAAAAATAAGATGGCGACAATAAAAAATCTACCTCAAGGACCCTAAAAACTATGGACACTAATATTTAAGAATCTATAAAATCCTTTACCAGTTCACGTGTCATGTTAAATTTAAAAGCAGATGCTGATTTAATTAATCTTTTTATCACGTGATCTGCCCTGAAATAAGGAGTCAAACCTACTTGTTTATGCGACATTCATACAAACGTCGCTTCGAGAAGGATCACATTCTAAAAAAAAATCTATGAAAGCTTTGTGTAACTGGCCACAATAAGAGCAGTCCCTACGAGTTCGCAGCAAAGAAAAAAGTACAAAAAAAAAATGTTGGAACGCCCAAATGCTAAGGTGGAGAAGGCGCACCTCATTCACCCCCAATTTTTAAACCCGCTTTAGGTTCTCGCATGATTGCTTGATCACCAACTGCTGCGTTTTCCTATTTATTCTAAAGGATCGCTTGAGTTAAAGTAAGCTTAATTCGCCACGCAAAAAATGTGTAGTTTGATTTTTGCACGTATTGTGTCGTATGATAATGCATTGTATTGCATCGTATTGCATCATCGTATTGCACTGTATTGCATTGTATTGGAATGTATTGCAATGTATTGCAATGTATTTTAATGTATTGCATTGTATTGCATTGTACTGCATCATATTGCATCGTATTGCATTGTATTGCATTGTATTGCATTGTACTGCATTGTATTGCATTGTAGTGTAGTGCAGTGCAGTGCAGTGCGGTGCAGTGCGGCCGTTGTAGTGTTGTTAGTTAGTATCGTAGTTACTCATTGTACTAAGGACTTTCGCGCCCAAAATGTTCCCACAAACAGATTTTTTTAAAGAAACTTCCTATGCAGCAAGGTACAGATAAACTTTTTAATGTGGTTACAATGGAGAGAACAATCAAAGGAAGAGCAAGCCAGTACCAAAAAGGTAATCTTTCTCAAGTTATTTTTTTTGCGGAAATCCTAGGAGGATCTAGAAACATCCAATACTATCAAGCAGATTTCGAGCATCATTTCGCTCAGGTGGACAACCCTGCTGGCTTTAGAACAGGAGCCCTTCACCCATAGCCGGGTCAGGGGCTCCTGCTATAGGCGTATAAATATCTAAGAACTGGTTACTATGCCCAAAAGTAGCTTGAGTGGGCTTAACACTGTGAAACGTCCAGTGCAGTGGAGTACATAACTGGCAGGTATAAACGTGTGACTAACCTAAGCTAATTAACTGAGCAAATATCTATCGTCATTTGGCTGTTATTAAGGGTAAAATGAACCAAAATTTCTTCAGCCATTTTATAGCGACGAAACGTTAAAAAAAAAACATGTAAAAGGAAACTTATGCGGAAATTTTTCTTTCTGAGCGGTGTAAAGGAGTAAAACAATTAAAAGTACGAAGACAGCCCATGGCTTCAGGAAAACGTTTCCAAAATGACCGTGCACTTTAATGGATGGAATGCAACTGAGACTCTGCTTTGTGACGTCATTGTTGTCATGAACATTGCTACGTTTCTGCGTCAGTGAGTCCCTCGAGGGGAAGGTTTTGGATCTAAATACAAACCTTATTTTACTTGGGAAATGGCCGAGGAGTTCGCCCGCTGTTCGGCGGGCATTTTTCGCTTGTTTTTCGTTGTTTTTTTTTTGTCACATTGCCTGCTTGCAACGTTCCATAGTGCAGTTAAAAATCGTCGGTACCGGGTCTTTCTTGATTGCAAGTTGACGAAGCTTGAAAGAGGGTCTCAACAAACTCCTTACCTCAAGATTTTGTTTGAAGCTGTCTTCGGTAAGGTGTTCACACAAACGCGCGAATGCCTCGAAGGCACGAGGCATTCTTCTTCTCATTTTTATGGGCCTTGAAAGTGCTATCTTTTGATTTTGAGTGATTTTCCTCTGAAGTTCACTGTGAACTTGAAACGAAAAAAGTTTCACATTTCCTGCAATTCTTGAGCTCACCAACAGTGAAGTCACAAGTTTTATTTCCGACAATTATCCGACGATTTTCCCGACCGCTCTACGATTATGAAGGATAAAAAACAGTGATTTTAACATTCCACTATCTCCGCAATGGTTCGTCCAATTCGTTTAAAACTTCAGGATATGTTTATTTTCTGCTTAATGAACACATTGAATTCAAATAATAATTAAAAAAATGTCTAAATTTTGGTTCATTTGTCCTTTAAGCAGAAAACGTTTAACTAATGTATAAAAAAAAAAATAACAAATGCACTCCTAACCATCCCAAGAAAAAAGTCTGAGATGTATCGTAAATTTTGCTTTACCATAAACAATCGGCAACCTGAAGGTAATCCTGTAATCGCCAACTACTCTATAAAATATTACTAAACAATTATACAGCTCAAGGCTTAAAGCGCACCTTACCCCCAAAAATTTAATTGAGCAGAAAGAGGGTATGAAACAAACGCACTCCTAACTAACTTAAGAAAAAGGTCAGAAATGGTGGTCACTTCTGACTATTTCTGACTGCTCTATACATACAAATATTTCAGCACGCTGATTGGCTGAGAGCACGTCATTTAATCTAAAAAAGGGTACAAAGTTGAAATTAGTGCAAAAATATGAAATTGAGCTACAGACAGCTGAAACTGAACTGCATGTATATTATTAACAGGTAATCAAATGATTTTTGCCGTGCCAAAGATTACAAATTGCACTCGCCCTGCGGACTTGTGAAATTTGTTTTTAGGCCCCAGTTACATAGTCTCGGGCACCCGAGACAACCCTCCCCCTGAGGCAACTTTATCGAGCGTTTATATGTGAAAACGTAGTCCCTGTAGATCGAGTCACATTAAGGTGGCCCTGCATGATTATTCATAACCCTTATTGAATAATCAAATGTACAAATATCCCTCTTTCTTTGAGTTTCCCTCGGTCATTCGATCACAGTGGGTTTTGCGGAGTTAATTTTCACTTCTATGATACGAATTTCTGCTTTAAATCCTAAATCTAGGCATAACGTGACACTCGCCACGCCGAGAATTGTGTCGGTTAGGCGAGTCAAAGCGTTTATATGAAGAAAAGTTGTCCCGCTTGCTCCGGTTACCCTACCAGTCGAGGCGAGACAACTCGCCCACCCGAGTTGTCTCTCCCCATGCAGAGACAGGCTCGCGATCCTGATGTGAACGGTTGGCTGAATTTTGCAAAGCAATAAGCTAAAAGTTACCTCGGCCTGGGTAACTCGGGGGAAGGGCTGTCTCGGGTACCCGAGACCATATAAATGAGGCCTTAGTGTTTGGAAATTTTCCTGTGCTTATGTACTCCAAATTGTACTCCAAATCGTTTGATTACCTATGCAAATTGTGTTTTGCCATAAACAATCGGCGGCCTTAAGGTATAGTCTGAAATCGGCAGCTGCGTCAGATGTACGCTATAAATTAATACACTAAACAGCTCAATGCTTTAAGATGATTTCCAGTCCGTACTGCACACTCTCGAGAGTTTGTTTGCGTTTTTTTGTTTTGTCTCATGTAAGGCATCACAAAATGTAAACATTTCCAAACTACTTACATGAAGTAAATTCAATGTTTCAAAACAACCGCCATTATGGATGCGAAGCGGTCGAAGCTTTATGCTTCTTTCTTTCTAATAACACTTGATGAAACAACTTGGCAGTTGTAAAAATCAATGAAGCTGTTGGAAAAATAATTTGAAAGGCCTCAAAGATAAGGTATGTGGTTCGTAACGAATAACATCGATTCGCATTCCATCGAGTGAGATTGATAATGTTAAACATTAGGGCGCTGAGACTGCGCCGTACGACTGGAAATCATTCCTTACCGTCGGAGTTTGGCACCGTAAACTTCATATCATCTAAAAGTTTTTTTCCCCCTAATTATTATAGTGATGGGCTCATCACAACATACCATCGATTTGCCCTTAGCTTTGACCGATTAACCCTCGGACGTACAAGGTGGGGCGGGGTGCTTCCTCATTCCTCCATCAGAGGTTTTTACAGAATCTGAAAAGAGTGTTTGCTTTGTGATGCTGAAGCTTTTAGTAGCTGTTGATTTATCTCTCGCAGGAATTTCGATGTGCCGAAAGTGCTCCCTGCGTCCTTTAATATATATATTTTTTATTATTTTTTTTTTACTTTTTTTTTTTAACGGCATATTTTACGTCCTTTAATATCGCTATTGCAAGTCGAGCCAAATTCGTCTTTTTTTGACAGATTTCGTCGTTTTTCCCCCTAATTTTCCTGAGGAGGATTGCAGAATTAATACTTATTTTGTTTCCACTGTCACTTTGTAATTAATTTTCCATTAGTTGACGTTAAGTTATGAGTTTCTGGCAAAACAGTAAAATCCAAGATCGCGGATCCAAAATGGCAGACCTTATATGATCTCATCTGAATTCTCAACATGCAATGATCTACACAAAAAATCTCAACTTGTAGGAGAGTGGTAAAGGGTATTTTCGTGATTCGTGAATGGCCTAATTTTTTCCCGTGAAATGTGTTGTTTTGTTTTGTTTTGTTTTTTTTTCGTGAATCGTGATTTCGTTAGAAGCCGTGAACCGTGATTTTCCATGATTCTCCGTGAAATGAGAAAGAAGTATTTAATTCGTCGTGAACCGTGATTCTGGTTGTCTCTTCTATTATTTGCGATAGTAATTATCAATATTACGTGACCGTGACAGGACAATCATCCCTCTTCGTGTTTTTGCTCGTTTTTCTTTTTGCTGCGCGCAGAACAAGAAGCGGACGGATGAAAAAGACATCTAACAAGGCTGTGCTTTGGGCGTAACTTTTCAAATATCATAAGTTACGTAAGTTTGTGTCAAAAAAAGCCACTTTTTTTTTCGTGAAGCATGAAATGCCGATTTTATTTCCAGTGAATTGTGAAAGGACCAATTTATTTTCCGGCAACCAGGGGCGCCATCCAACCCTCCCTTGTACCACATATGCGTTTGCGTGAACATCCGAGGGTTTTGTGAACCTAACTAGCAGTTAACTGAGAGTAAATATGGCATTGTTAAACGGCAACATTACAAGACTTCTAAAACGAGTCCAACTCGGAGACGCCAAGGTTCGTTTTCCCCATGTGCTCGTTTTGGGTAGCGTTCAGGTCTACGGGTTCTTTACCATGCATAAACCTTTTCGCCATGCGAAACTTGACACATAAAACTGCCAGGGCTATAACTGCAAGCAGCCCAAATACACCAACTCCTGCCACGCCACCAATCAGAGCAGTTTGTTGGCCGTGGCCAGAATCTGTGGATATCAAACAAGTGAACACGTTTCAGAAAAGCAGACAAACTGGTTTTAGGTGAATTTTAAATCAAAGGGGCCAGAGAGGGGCGAGAAAGAAACGGATCTTTCACCAAAGGATCAGAACAATCTAGAATGCCAGCTAGGTTACTAGACACTTTTTTCAGTTGACAAATGGCTTAAGTAGATTTTATGGAGGAAGAAATTGTCTATAATTTAAAAATAATCATTCAACTTATTTGTACCGTTTTCTTATTTACATTTTTTTCCACTAGTTGAGAGACAATAATGCCACCAACAAATAATTAGCTAAAGAAAACGCTCTTTTCATGGGCTTTACAAAGCACCATGCCAGTTGCTGGAAGCAATCTGTTGGTATCCAGCATTTTTCTCATTGATCAAAACAATGCGAGAAACAGTGACAGCGTACACGTCCTCGTTTATCAATTTCTGGGGAATCACCTCAGGTCAAAAAATAATCTTGATCAGTGGTTCTTCTGCGCCCTTTTAATTTCACATAAACGGACTCGCCCAATCTGACTTTTTTAAACTTTCTTCAATGTTACAACAAACAAAATTACTTTATTATTGGCCAAGCTTGATTGATCCTAATGCAGAGATTTTGACCCTGTTCACTTTTGCTTTGTTCATCAGTTGACTTCGGCTTTCTCTGGGTACTAAATGGCTAAAAATACTCTTTCAAGGTTTCTACATCTGGGCCCAGTTGTTCAAAGAGTGGTTAACGCTGTCCACTGCATACATCACTATCCACTGGATAGACCAGGTTGCTGTGTGAACACTAAACCAGTGGATAGTGATTTAGTAGGTGAATATTAGCGTTATTCACCAGTTGAACAACTGGGCCCTGGACCTCATGCTCGGTCAGCAAAGTCTGTTTCCGAAGTTATTTACCTTCTTTTTCTTTAATCAACAAGGGTCCGCGTGTGAGAGTCACTTTGGCTGTACTTTCTTCACGTTCTCTGTTGTCACGTGTCACATCTCTTTTCTTTCTCTGGTTCCTTAAACAACCCTTACTGCACCTGTAAATTAGTCGATTGTAAAGATTGTTCAATTGGCTTTATTCTTAACTATTATGATTCTATTTAATAACACAAAGCGATAAAAGAATATGTGATCTTCGAAGTTATTTACATGCAGTTAATTCAAAGGAAGGCGTTGGACCGAAACACCAAACCCATGAGACATAAAGGAGCTGAGTAACTGTATTTTTGTCCAGGTGCAATATTATCTTTGAATCAAAGGAAACGTGAAAATAGTTGTTTACTAGGATAGAAAAACACCAAAGAGATAATAATAAATCAGAAAGGAACAAGGATGGTTGAGGATGGAACAGATTAACACGGATTAAAATCCACGAACTTGAAATATTTAGGCCAATTAAACTTTTCAAGATGTGCAAAGCGTGACGTAGCTCCTTGAACAGTTTATAACATTACAGCACAAGGAACCTGAATTTTCAGTATGACCGAGCCCTATTTTTTGAAAGACTGGATTAGGAAAATTTTCCAAAATCTCAAAACCAGGCAATACAGAAGAAAGGCTACAAAAGAACGCGTCAGATGACGGGGAAAACACGCAGAATACTACCCCTAAAAGAAGAAGACGAGGCGGGCAGAAGGAAAGTAAGTGGTATTTGTAAATTTTTTCCACAGACTGAGAATCTTTACTTATTGCTTATATTGTGGGATGTGAAGGCCTCACCAGGAGGAAACACCTCAAAAGTCAACTTGTATTGGCTGCGAGTGTGCTTCATAATTTCTAGAACTCACCTGGAATTAGAGGAATTTCTATGACAAGCAAATAACTCACAATGGATAAAAACGGTGTCATAACTGTCGAAAAACCGGAAGGTTCTGATTCTAAGCTGTTGAAAACTTCCGGTTGGATCATAGCTGTACTCCAGCGTTGTATCTCGCGCGCATCTATATAAAAGAAAATTAAAGTACAGTACTTTGCAAAAGTAATGCAAAAGAAATAAAATTTCGAGATCGAGAATTTCGGTGAAAAAAGGGCCAGCTTAAACTGTAAGGCCTGAAACGTCAGCGAACGTTAGCCGATACTGATTTAGCAGATCTGTGGTTTATATTTCGGTGATATTTCGCAAAATGAGGCGAAAATATGCACCTTAAGCTAGCACCGCAGAAGAACTACTGCGCTCTCGGCTACTAAAACTTGTTCGTGATAAACGTTAGAGCAACCACGTAAGAAATAAATAAATTCAGAATTTTGTTTGCTAAGGTGATTTTCTTTCGTTAGCTAAGAAACATCTGTGTTTAACCTCCCTTCAACTGAAATAATGTCTCTGCGTCTGTGTGTATAATACTAGAAATGCACCTACCCATTCTGTATAATGGTGTATTGAGGCCAGGAATAAAAACTTCCATCTTTAGTGGCCTTACAGTTGAGAGCCATTATCGCCAAGTCGGCACTTGACTCCACACTGTACCCCAAATACACGTAATCATTGAGAGGCATGTCCAATGGGTAGTCCTTCTCAGTGTAAGGCGTGGAAAAAGATGAACTGTCGTAGAAGTCCATTTTAAAGGTGAAGTTACCGTATCCCGCTACAAGGAGATAACAGCAAACGATTTTAAAGGAACATCCAATGGTAAGATAAGTTTACGTATCAGCATTCAGTGGAAATTGAAAATTGGTGAAATAAAGAAGAAAAAATTATTTAGGGTTCGAAAGAATTGAGTCCCGTGCCGAGCAAATTCGCCACTGTGATCTAAGAAGGAAAGCTGCGTTGTTGTGGAACAATAGGGCGACCATAAGACGTTACAAACAACACAAATGGTGGCGAGTTTGATGGCGTTCAGGTAATACAACCCAGATTAACGGAGATTTTTAGCCTGTGTTTTTGTCAACAATGAGACAACGGACTGCCTCTCATGACAATCACGCATCAGCTAGATTTAAAATCCATCTGGAAAATGCCTTGTTTCCTTTTTTTCTATAATGCCAAAGTGATTGACTTAACAGATAAACACAATTTATCACTGATTAGGCAGACTTCTGCTGGATAGACGAATTCGGCTAACATGTTTACACACTTGTTGCCACCCAATTCAGACAACGTGATGATTCATTTGCATTGGGAGGTTACAATTGTGCAATTTGTCACACACAACTGATTGCATAGCAGTATGTAAAAACAGAGCAATTGTAACCTCCCAAATGAGTAATCACATGATCTGATTTGAGTGGCAACAAGGATGTAAACACGTTTGCCGAATCCTTCGATTAAAACAACATCTTTCGGGATTATCACAGACCTGATGTTTACAACAAAAGAGAGCTTTGCATTACCTTCTTGCCCAAAGTAGATACTCTGAGGTGTGAATCCAAGGCTAAGTAATGACTTTCTGGAATAGCGGCAGGAAAATGGCAACTTGACGTCATGAGTTCGAGTGATGACATTGTCGATAACCAAGGCGTCCGCTTGCACTTCGTTCCAGAAAATAAGAACGTGCTCTGTCTCGTTCACAAACGTCCCGCAGTCATTTAAAGATGTACTGATAATGAAGTGTGTTGAATTCTCTGTAGCTCTACATGAAGCATATCGGAGGCGCAGTTCGCTGACGTTAAAGAAATGATATGTTTCTTTTTCTAACGTCACAGTCATGTTATTGCGTGTGCATGTCACACTTGCACTAGGGTCTGAAATCAAACAAAGAGTTTAAGAAATTATGGAGACTGATTTCAGTTTTGAGCGGCTGGAAGAGTTCAATTTTTCATTCATATGTACAGTTTTGCAGGGTCTGAAATTTTCACTTAGGGTCATACGAAGACCTGATTGAGAAAAACATTGTTCAAACTGCTAAGCCCAGTCTTCCCTTATGCACTCGATCATTCATTTTGACAAACAATAGACTGCAAGGTTGATACTACGTGAAAGTGAAAGATGTTTCGAGACACCAACATGACAAGAACCGATAAAGCAGGATCGCAACAGTGGACAGCTGTTTCGTCCTTACTGGGACTCGTCGACACTGTGTAGCGAAGATAAGTAACGCCAGCCCAAGAGCAGACGCACATAAATTGCAAAATGACCCGTTCACTAAATCAAGTTCCGCACTTTGAACTCACTTGCGCCCCGAAACACGCGTTCCACATCGCGTGTTTCTGGCGCAGGGAGACAAAGTGTTACGATTGGTGTCTCGAACAGCAAAAATTAAATGTGGTTGGAAAAGGCCAGCCTAATCATTTAACTGCATGGCCAGTACTATGCTTTAAAAAAAAACGCAGCTTATCGGATCTGAAAAGACCTACGGTCCGAAAATGCAAAAATGAGAAACAAGAAACTGCAAGGGACCGCTTACGAAAAACGGTGCCAACGTAGGAACTACAAGAGATCTGATCACCCCCGTATCACCGCTAAATGTAATAACAACGCTAAATGTAATACCAACCGTAAATGTAATAAAAATTAACTCTAAATGTAATACTAACCGCAAATTTAATAAAAATCAACCCTAAATGTAATAACTTACCCCACCGTAAATGTAATACAATTTAACGCTAAATGTAATAAGCTGACCAACCGTAAATGTAATACA